CCCCCCCCTCCCTCGCCCTAAACCTGTAGCAAATCAAATACTTATTTCCTATTTTTTCCATTTAATCTTTTGCTAAAGAAATAAAAGGAGCACTTTATAGAGGAAAACAGCAAACGTGCTTCTGCTAACGAGTCTTGCATCCTTGGAAAAGACCTTGGCGCCTACAGCTCGTAGTCGAAACTGTCGACTGTGAAAAGTGTCCTGTGTCAAAAAAGACAAATCTTTTTTATTACTTTGTAGAGATATGTAGAGACAGGAGTCTTAATTTGACATGTATACAACAAGCCTTCTCGTAAGTAAATAGCAATCAGTTGACAAGCTCAGATTTTCAAAAATCAAATTTTTAGTCTAGAAGCATTGCAGACAAAGTGTGGAAGATAACAAGACAGTAACATCAAAAAAGATGAGGAATGCAAACAAATTAATTACATCGGGAAAAAAAGGCCCCTATAGATAAATATATCGACATAAACTTTTAATTTATTAAATAAGCTAAGCTCTTTTTTGATTACCTGCAAAAGCATCGTAACCACAATTTCAATAAATCACTCGTTAAATTCTCATTTTAGTCGCATATAGCCACGTCAATACAATTCGTGAGATAACATACTGTATAGAATCTAAGAAAGTCGTTGAACTAGCCAATCAGCTACATCAGTTAGACGCCAACAGCATGCATATGACTAGATTAAACATAATAGTTAAAAGCTAACATTATTCGATTTAAATATTCGAACGCTTCGCATAACTTGGACATCCGATATTCGAATACTCGAAAAAACGCATTTTAAATAGTCGAATAATCGAAGGAATACATTTATTCGATTATTTGAGTCGATTATTTTGAACCTTCGACATTCAAGTATCGAAGGTTTTTGAATTGAGATTTGAATATTATTCAATCTTTCGGATGTCTGTAAAATCATCGAGTATTTGCTCGTTTGCTGGCGAAATGATCGAATACATTTGCGATGAATAATTGTATCTGACTGATATACACGAATAATTCGATTATTTGCAAATTGGAGTAGTCGAATGTACAAAAACGCACTTATTCTGTTATTCGAATATTTGAATATTTGGCTATGTCCAATTAGATGATTCGAATATTCGAGTTTCACATTCCAAATGCTCAAATATCATTCATTCGTTTGAATATTTTCTTACAAACAAACATTCGTCCAATGTAAAGTTTTTTCGGACGTTCCTATTATATTAAGCACAGCAAAACATGATTATTGCAAGCTTGTTCTCAAAAGGCATGAAGATGCGATAACTCTTGAGATGCTTTGTTAGCAATAAAAACTCTTTAAACATTTGATAACATACAAAATGTTACAGTAAAGACCGTGATTATGCGAGCAGAGATTGCTACACGTCATTAATCTACAACGCATCATCTTTATATGCAATATTGTCTTCTCCCTTCGTAAGGCTGGCAGCGCCTGAATCTCGCTCCCTGTTCCCATTCTCTATCCGAGCATTCGCGTCATCACTCCATGTAGTAATGTCGTCAACGGGTAAACTATCAATGGATAATCTGTCCATTGTTTTTTTTCGCGGTGAAATCGTCTCCGTCTCAGGGATTACAATTAAGTCCGGCTAAATTTCACTAGATTAAAACAGAAGTCTAGAGCAAATTTGAAAAGACAACTTTCTGATCCCCATATTGCACATTATAGTAGTCCTTTTGTGCATCCAGTGTTAAATAACTATACTCTTCCGTGATCTCCTCAAGTTGAGCGGCCAGTTTCTGACGAACTGTTAGGAAATCGGGTCTCTCCTCAGGATCGCGAGTCCAGCATTCACACATAACTTCATAGCTATAAGTCGTGATGACATAACTCTTGAGGAAGCAATCTCTTCAAGAAAGCTCACAAGTTTTCAGGACAATTATCAGGACGCTCCATACGACCACCACTTTCCAGAAATTGAAGCATATCCTCAGGAGGAACAGATGGATAAGGAGAACCGCCTAGTGTGATGATCTCGAATAGTAGGACACCAAATGCCCAGCTAAA